GGGCCCAGGGCTAGGCTGCTGGTAACCCGAACACGTGCGGGTCATTAGTCGCAGTCACGCATTTTGAGCTCACTCTGAACCGAGCCGAGCCGAGCCGAGTTGTCCGGTGTCCAAGTTGTGGATGGAGTGTTGCCAGCCAGCGCCCCCACCTTCCACATTCACATTCACATCCATAACCATCTCCACACTCCACACACACCACACACTCTGTGGCATGTCCGTTTCGTTCAGTTTTAGTCGGAAATGATTTCGTACGCTTCGTTCAACTTGAATTTTTAGGCCGCGAAATTTTTATGAGTAGCTGGAACTCGGAAACTCTTCTTCGGCTACGGCTACGGCTACGGCTTGGGCTTTGTTTGATTTACCTTAATGGGTTCTAATGAACCATGGCTCAAGCAGCCATGCAAGCGGCCCAGTCCAACAGTCCACAAGTCCAATTATTGACTACTGATTCAGTGCGGCGGTACAGGAAGGAATGGAGGATTAGTGCAGAGTTTTTCTCGCTGAAAATTGGGTGCAATATTTCTTAGCAAACTTAAACCCATTAATACATTATCCAAGAAATATTCCATAGACTTAATGAGTCTGCCAGAATATAATTTAGTTCCCCAACCCAACCAGCCGGTCACGTGTGAGGAAATAACGCAACTAAAAGCAAACAATTTAGGATCTCATGGAACCCTTTTCCCAGCTAACAGCCAGGGGAACCATCAATGTCATATTCAGGCGACTGCTAACAGAGAAGAAAGGACTGCCTGTGGCATGGCATTTCCTTGCGCATTTTCACGACAACCTGGCAACCTGCCAACGTCGGGTGTTCCTTCCTCCCGGACAGCACCATCGTGACGTCGGGACGAAGCTTTTAACCTTTAAGTTAGGTATTTTTTCGTAGTTTTCGATTAATGGACACACTAATGCACGCATTAGACCATCGTCTGCCTCTGTGCCCTGTATCGAAAATTGTTGGCACGTGCGGCGGACAAATAGCGACAAATGTGTGTACGATGAATAAACAATTGGAGGGGGGGGAAAGAGTCTATATGGAATCAAAAAACATATTTGTACACTCACATATATTTATTGGCCATATCTGACAACAATTTATGCGGCCATTAACAGCGGCAATACAACGTGTTTATTTCAACATTTTGAAATGCCATAAAAAATATACAAATAAATAAATAAATATTATTAACAGTCGAAAAATCAATCAAAAATTCAAGACATGTTCCCCCTCCTCTTGAACGAGTTGCAAAAATAAAAGGCCATACACTGTTCATAAATTCAAACACCCACAAGAAATATCATTCACCCAGAGAACCGAAACAAACAAAAGAGGGTCCAACAATGAGACCATAGATCGTCGGGGGGCTCTGGGCGTTGCGCGATTTTGTGTGTGGGATTTCTCAGTGGGTCAGTGTGGGGGCCCCCATAGGAAAGTGATAGTAATTGATTCGTAAATGGATGTTTAGATGGGAGATAATGCAAAATGGAGAAAGATATGGTGTTGCATTTTAAAATAAATTAAATTTTTAATTTTTAATAAATATTTCCATCAAGAGAGAGAGAGAGGAAAACTCACCCATTGCTGATAATCTACGTTGTTCGCTGGATATGAAAAAAACCTGCAAATTTATGGGCTCCAAAAGTAGATTTACTCAACAATTGAAGAGGAAGTTCCCCCCAACTCGCCCAACCAGAGACAGGTGGCATGAAATATATGCCACTAATAAAAAACAAAAAGTGTTGTAAAAATAAATTAGCAAGCGAAAATCCGGAAACTTGTAACAAATTAACATTAGAACAAATATATGTACAATAATTAGTAACGCCGTGTCGGACAGGGGTGGAAGTGAGTGGTGAAGCATGTTGCATATTGTTAACTATGGATGGTACTTACTAGTCGTACTAATTAGAGCACCCTGACCCCAGTTCAGTTCGCAAGCTTTAGGTGCAAAGTAAAATCTTTAGGAACATTTTTGGGTGTACTTTTTAAATGCATTTCCCGCATTTACACGGCAGCAGGTGGCATTACACGCGTTGTAAACAATTGTTAAAAATTATAAAATGTATTTTTGGAAAGACATCTGCAACGTACAGTGGGTGTGTCTGTGTTTAAACAGCTTTCCCCACTCGATTATTCATTTATTTACATACTCGGGGAGTTGGTTTTTTATTGTGCTGACGATCTAGGAAGAGAGTGAAACAGAAGCAGCAGCAGAAGTTGCCGAATCAGAAGGTGTTATACAATAACTCATAAATAACAGCAGCTAGGGGACAGTGAACAGTGGGGAGTGGAGCGGAGTGCAGGGGCTGGCTCATTAACAGGCAGTCACCGCAGGCCAGAGCGAGAGATAAGGGAAATGCCAGAGAAAGTCATGCAGAACTTCCGTTTTTGTTTGGTCTAAGGGGGAGGGAGTTGGACATAATTACACGACTCTCCTCCTCCTCCTTCCCCTCCACCACTCACCAACAGATGCAAGCTCCATTTAAGTTTCCGTTTCGGGTTGAAGCAAATGCAGTAAGCCCCGCGCAGCCGCTGCTCCCCCGAATATTGCATTATTAATTGCTTGGGCTTTGATTTATCTAAGAAGCAGTTGGCCAACAACAAATCCAACCCCTATCCAGGCATGTGGGGGAGCCAACCCTTGGAGCCCTCTACAATGTTTAATTGTGGAAATGAGAAATATGCGGAAGCGTTGACGATTCCGCTCCAGCGTCTGCTGCACTTGTCGCATCACTTGATGGCACAGGCCCCACCCAACTCTCCTTCCCCTCGTTAGACCGGCACATGTCAGCAGCATTGTGCCTGTGCCCTGTGGCCTGTGTCTGTGTCTAGCCATCAGCATCTGTAGCTGTCTGTTCCACTCCCACATGCTGTCTAGGCACTTGCCTCTGCACCGCTCCCCCCTCAATCCCCCACACACACACGCACACACACTAAATGATACAAAAATATGGGCTTAACCGGAAACGGATGTATTATCTGCGCTAACTGCGCTGCCACACACAACAGTCAGTCAGCCAGTGCCAGTGACGGGGCTTGGGCTGGGTCCGCTCGCCCGAGCTCGGGTCGTGGATCTAATAGAATATTATAAATCGTACACCCAAAAGCACGTAGAATGAGACAACCTGTATGTATGCCTGTCCGCTCGTCTGTCTGTCTGTCTTCTCCACTGACCCACGGATGACAGTGGAATGCCGTACCCCTACTACTTCTCCTCCATCTGCTCCTCCTCCTCTTCGCTGTTCTCTGTTCTCGTTCTCGTTACGCTTCTGTAAGCTTTTGGCTTGTGCTTTTTGCGGCATGCAAAATTCCCAAATAGAGTTAGGGCGCTGCCTGCCTGCCTGCCTGTCAGCGGATGGATGGGGATGTTGGGGAGAGGAGGCGAGGGCGAGACGTGAGGCGGTCACTGCCGTTAGTTTTCTTGCATGTGGGACATCTGCGTGCGTGCGTGCGTGTGTGTGTCTCTGTCCCGTGCCTCTGCTTCAGTGCATTCGATTGCATGTCGCTCTCAGGCACTTGCCAACGCTTTCACTTTCGGGGCGGCCTCTTTTTTGTTTATTTGTAAAAGTTCTAGAGGAATGTCATTGCTGATATTTTAACAATATTTTACTGCAAGGAAACTACATCAGATTGGTTTACATATGGGCACCACATTGGTCTATATTTACAAAGAAATAAATAGGTCCAAGCAGCTATTTTCTACAAAGCAAATGGATATAGAAAATCCACAGAATTGTGCAATTGCAATGACCCATATCCTCCTGCATTTATTGCACATTTATCCTTACATTTAGTATGCCAAGCATGCTCTGTGTAGATCAATAATCCAATCAAGACCAATCATGAGAAGTGGCTGCAGGAAGACGTTAACAATTTGATTGGCAAGTCAAGGGGGTAACCCCTTCTACAGGATAGTAACCATATCTATTGCATTCAGGGGACAGCTGCCAGACGAGCAGGCATTTGCATGTCTTTAGCTTAGGGATCCAGAGGGATAATCAGCAGCGTAGCCAGCTGATTGAGATTGAGTCATTTTATGAACAATGCCCTTGCAATCGGGATCGTGATCGAGGCCGCAGATGCGGCTCGTAAATGTATCTCAGTGATGCCTTCTTTTTTTTACTCTCTGCTGTATCCTTGTATCCTTTGCGTGTCACTCAAGCGATCAGGCCAAACAACAACAAACAATGTCAGCTCAGGGAAGGGGAACGCAGAGCAAAGGAGTAAGGAGCAGCAGCAGCAGCAGCAGCAGCATCCTTTGTGGCTTCCGTTTCTCTGTTGGCTTTGATCGCAGCTACCCAGCTACTTAGCATTTTCCGTTCCTTTCCATACCCTCCCTCCTCCTTTGTGCACGGCCTCGATTTTTGCATGCCTCGATGGGTTTTCCGCCCGTACGGACAATGGGGCTTAGCTTTACGGAAAATGCGCGAGTAAGAGCATGTGTGTCTGTGGTTCAATATTTATGCTCTAAGCTGGCAAACAGCGGGGAAAGTTAACAGATCGCAGATAAGAAATATCTTTTACAGGAAATCGCGGATCTGCTGAAAATATTTTAAATGAAACTCTTAAATACTTTTGAATACAAAATACAAAAATATGTTGTTATTTTTATTTTATTTAGAATTTCTTTAGTTGTTATTCTAATTTTCTTTTTGTATTCCACTTTCCTCAACTCTGAGAATAAACAAATAAAAACATAACGAGTACATTTCCAAGCCCATTTATACATTCTTTTAAACACAAACTAAAAAGTATAAAATGTAATTGTGGCTGGATTTTTTCCATTTAAACAAAAACAAGTCACAAATCATCAAGTAATCCTGCTGAAAACACTCCACAGCAAGGCTAGACAAACCCAAAAGCAAAATTACAGTTGAAATTACAGTCCTGTTCCCCAATTTTATTTCCGAAAATGTGTCCAACAAAAGTGTGACATGGAGGAGACCAGTTGGGTCCGTTGGTTCGCAAGCAAAGCGGCAACGAGTTCTTCGTAATGGACAAGGAGTTCATGAGAGACAAGTTCAATCTGTTATTCCTGGACATGGAGGGAAAGAATTATCGCAGGAGCCTCGATGTGATCTTCAACGAAAACTCCGAGTCCGAAGCTGAAACCGACGCCGATGTGGAGGCCGGGAGGTCCTACGGGTGGATCCACGCCCGCTTCATTCTCACTGGTCTCGGCATGGAGCTGATGTACAAGAAGTTCCAAAACTGCAATTTTGGGACTTGTTCAGGCGCCTTCTGTCGGTGGCGGAACGTCCTTCCCATTGGCATGAGCGACACACCTGGCAACGAAATGGTGCGTCACTACTGTCCCATCTGAAAGAAGGTCCACACATAAAAATCTTCTCGCGAAGATTGCGATTGTTTTGCTGTTCTGCTTACAACATTTTGAAATGTTACGATGTGGCCAAGGAGATGTGAAAGTCGAATGTGGGGAGAATACTCTTGATGATTTTTAGCTCATGGCCAGCTAGATGAAATATTTTTGAAAAAAATAAATATTTGCCTAAAACGGATGAAAATGTTGTTATGGAGTTAGCCATAAAAAAGGAACTTTGCATTGCTGTTCCGCTTACATAAATTTGGATATTTATTCATTCATGCCATTCCATTCGGATAAAGTTACGGAGTAGGCTCTCTGCTTTAAGTGTCAAAATTTTGTGTGTTTTTGGTTACATCCCCAAAGGAAAATGCGTCGATCCAGTCCGAGACGCTACGTGGCGGAATTGAGGCCCATTGGCCTCCACCATCTGCATCACTTTCCACCGCCAGTGGCACAGCCTCAGCAGAGTATTCTGAATCGACGACAGGCGGAGCAGGTTCGGCCGAACAACCAGTCCATGGCGCCACTGGCCAACAGACAGGGTCAGTTTCCAGCCAACAACCAAGAGACAGCCACCGTGGAGAATGAGCCTCGAAAAGTGGAAAAGTTTATGCGGCGTTGCTACATGACGGCTGGAATTTTTGTGTTTGTCGCATCCTTTCACTTGATGCTCATCTCGGAGACCCTCAAGCCGAATGTGAAGTACGTCCTGGCCGGATTCCTGTGCCTGCTGGTGGCCTTCTTGACACTCTTTGTGCTCAGCTTCTGCGTGCGTCTGCGCAGGAGCTATTGGTTCAGTTGGATTGTGGCCTGGCTCTTTGTGGAGCTCACCGCCATGGGTGTGGGCCTGGTGCTGGTGGAGCGCACCCTGAAGACCGTTTGCCTGGCGTGGATTGTTTGCCTCACAGTGCTCTTTTTTTGCTACTCGCTGGGCACCTGGCTGCCCATGTGCCTGCTGCCCGGGGAGATCACAATGTGCATATCCCTGATACTCTTCACAGTGTCGTGTGTCATTGTGATATCGCTGTATATGGCCACCGATGATCCTCTATATCACACCATATACTTTTCGTTGGTGTGTGCCGTGCTAGTGCCCGGCAGCATCTATCATGCACAGATCGTGCATGGCAGACGCTTCAATCTGCCCTCACATGAGTTTGTCTACTGTGCCATTACGGTTTATGTGCATGCCCTAATGTTTTTTGTGTCCATTTATTATCTGATGTGGATACAAGAGAATTTATGAGGCAATAAACAAAGCCCAGAGATATTATTCACCTAGCAGTCTCTGTTGTTCTTGTCAAAGAAAAACCTTCAAGCTGTATTTAAATGTCCGCAGAGAGTCAAGAGAATTTACCCACGCATCGTTCCCTGAGACGCCGGACCAGTCTGTTCCGCTCTGAGGAGGATGAAGCCCTGTCCAAGTTCATTAATAATATCTACAACTACGGCATACCCATGATAGCCGTCTCCGTGCTCGTTTGGATTGTGGTGGCCAGCTCCGATGGAAAGTACATCTATAGGTATATGCCATTTCCACCCTACATACTCGTCATTATCGTTTACCTCGTGATGATGCTGCTCCACTGTTTGCCCATGATCGCCCACGTGGCACTCTGCAACTGGATGTGGGCCATGGTTGCGTGGCTCTGTACAACACTGGCCGTTTGTTGTGTGTTGCACAACTTTAGCGTGTTGACGCTGCTCTTGCTGCTCGCCCTCTCTGTGGTGCTGCTTTTGGTTCTTAACTTTTCGGGTGCCAAGTGTCCTGTCGAATTCCTGCCCGGCGGAGTTATCTCCAGTGGCTTTATGATGGCCATGACCGTGGCTCTCATCGTACTGGGCATCGTTCAGCTGTCCACTGACAGCATCAAGGTCCTGGATGCCTTTGTCAGTGTTCTGTTCGTCATGCTGATTGTGGCCATACCGATACAGGCGCAGTTCTGTCACGGCCGCATGGAGTACTTTCAGGTGGTTCCACGCCTACATCAGATGGTCAGCATTCTGACGCTCTACCTCTCATCTGTGATGTTCTTCTGCTGCCTGCTGTACTTTACAGTGGCTACGGATCGTCATGAAACAGTGACAACTGAAGCGACAACAGAGCACATATATAGTTAGATGAAGATGCCCCTCTGTTGATGGGTTTTCTGTGACTGAATCAATTGATAAATAGCTTTCAGATTGTTCTCTGGGTCCAGTCCGTCGAGCACTTTATTGTCAAACCAAATTCGGAGTTTGTAAACATTTAAAGCAGCAGCAGGATGCAAAATACATCAAATGAAAATCAATTTCACTCACAAAATTGGCGCCAAATCGCCAGACGAGAGGGTCTTCCAGACGAAGAGATTGTAATTATCATCGATAAGTCCGTCTTGAAAGTATTTCGACGGAATGTGTACTGCCTTGCGGTGGCCTTTTGTCTGATGACGGTGACACCTTGGACCATTATAGAGGCCGTGGATTATAAGTTCAGCACCTTGTGGAATATTCCAGTTTATGTTTGGCTCGTCATGGCCTTCCTTTGCCAGGCGATGCTGGCATGTTTTCCACAGACGCGATACACTCCTCCCTGCAACTGGATACTGGTGCTGCTCGTGGTGTTGCTCCTGACTATTTTTGGCAGCTACTTCCTGTACCTGATCAGCATTGAGACGTTTCTGGTGGCTCTTCTTATTGCGAGTGTAGTGATGGCTGTGCTTCATGTTTGTGGCGCCCATTGCCCGCAGGTGGTGTTGCCCAACACTGTTTGCACGGGCTGCATGCTGCTGGTGTGCCTCATCACACTCTTTGTGGACGGCATTATGCTGCTCATGATGCCTGATCCCATTTATCAACTTGTGTTCGGCATAGTTATATTCACTCTGGTGCTCATGATGATACCCTTCAACTCGCAGTACATTAACGGACGTCTCAAGTTCACGCCCATTGCCGACACTCTGGTCTGCGCCCTCGCCATCTACATACACTTTATCATAGTGTTACTCTGCCTGTGTGCCTTTAAGTACTACTTTGACTTCTACAAAGCTCAGACAGTCATGGAATAAATGTCAAAATATACCCGACAAAAAAGTATACCCAGAGAATTATGGAGAAGAGAGTTCCTACACAGGTTTATGGGATGCCACACGATGAGCTGATCACCTACACAACTCGCATCTATGGACTGGGATTTATGTTCGCATTGATTGGCCTCGTCCAATGGATAGTCATCGCAGCATTCGATTTTCACGTGGAAAAGCTAACCACAGATCGCTATGGCTGGTGGCTGGCGTGCACCTTCTTTGCCATTGCCACGCTCGCATGGACCGAATTTGGACGAAAGTTTCCCATCAATATAGCCATAATAGTCAGCATTGTGGAGACATCGACGTGGTACATAGCCTTTGAGCAGTCATTCACTCAGAATCATTTGGCTGACTTCTATGCTCTGGTGATTGTTGTGTCCATCATGTTCTGCTCCATCTTTTGGGGAGCCTACTTTCCCATGTACATTGTACCGGGCGACCTGGTGCTCAGCGTCCTTGTGGCCACGGCCAACATAATGTTGTTCATATTCTTTTTCAATGCCTACATCACGGGTGCCGCGGCCATTGAGGTTGCCGTACGGAATTTCTTTGCAATTTTTGCCATTTCGATGGTTATTTATACGGCCACCATAGTGCACGATCGCCAGTTCAATGTGCCGAAGCACGAGTATCTCTTCCTGAGTGTCATCATCTTTTTCTGCTACATGATACTCCAAGAGCGTGTCCTGGCCCTGTCATATCAGTATTCCAACAATATCGAATGTACCTTCATGATTAATGAAACTTAATTAATTGTTTGAATAAATTATTCTTTTTTGTCTGAGCTTTTATGTAAATTGTTTGATGTACATTTTGAACATTTGTTTATTAATTTTAAAAAAATGTTTTGTGAATTGTTTTTGGAATATGTTCGAGTACTTACAAAGGTGAACTTTCAATATATATTTTGAATAATTTATAGCTATTTCATTTTGTATTATTTATCAGCTTAAATGTAATGCATTGAAACCACTACAATATCGATGGTAAGAACATATGTTCCTATACGAAATCGAAGATTTTATATTTTTTGAATCTGAAATACCAAATTAAGACCTAGTAGTTCTCCTCGTCCTACTGCTTATTGTGGATAATTAATATATTCAGAAGAATTCATTGTTTCTCATTGATGTAGAGTCAACCAATGTGATATGACGGGGTCATTATTTGTATTTTCTCATTAAACAAAAGTCGATCCCTTACAAAAATTACTTAGAAACATCCTCCATATTACAACATATTGTGATTGATCTACAAGATCCAGATCCACTTTCCATTTGGCTTGGCATGTTGGTTTGTTGATGTATTTATAATATTATTGAACATCTTCTGATTGTTTGATTTTGTAGCGAAATTTCTTACGCATTGTCTTGTGCACTCGAACGCAGTTTTGTGACATGCGCCACCCAGTGGTGCAGAGACAATGGGGGAAGTGCCGTAAGGTGTTATAAGTAAATAAACGAATAAACAAATGAAATGCCAGTGCAACGTGTGGGACGTCCCTTTGTCGTTTGGCGGAACAGCTGATTCAGCAGCAGTGAAAAATTGATGAACTGCGTGGAAGGTAAACAGTCAATATTTTGGGTAAAGGCAAGCCAGGCTGGCCCTTTTATGTAAATTACATTTAATATTTGCTTAGAGAACTTCAAACCGGTAGACCATAATTACAATAAATTTGGTAATAATTTCTGTTTAATGTTGGAATCTTCCTATTTACCATATTCCATGTGTATATTTAGTCATTGAGGGCATGATCAGAGGTCCCTAAGATTTGTGATCATGAGAGCCCTCTTTCGATGGCCATCCCTTGTGGATGCTTTAATAAGATACTCGCGCATCGATTTAAACTGGATTAAGAATACTCTAAGAAGGGGTAAAGAAAAGTAACTATACCTTAAAATTTACATAAAGTATCCTTTACCACTCTTCTGGCTCTGGCTCTGGCTCTGGTTCTGGCCTGGCCTGGCCCTCTGATAAGCCGCCGTAACCGAAGGCCCTGCGAAGTGCCACTCGGGAAACAGGATTATAGATAGAGTAAGGGGGACTGGACTGTCCAAGAGCGAACAAAGCGGCAGCTGTGGCAGACAAAGGATCGGTGAGGCGCTACAACAATACGCTGCAATGCGCTATGCTATCCACTTAAGGTCCAAGCGGGGCGAAAGGAAACTCGTTATGAGTCACACAAATCTCAGACTACGTACGTCTTTTCAGAGTAAGGGTCTACGATCTATCTTTCTTGAGATACCAAGCACAGCCACCCCAACATTGAAAGGCAATCCCAACCCCTTCATCTGGTCAGTCGCGAAAACAATCAGCGGCCATAAATGTTGATTATAACGATGACGAGTCCAAGAAGGAGGAGGAGAGATGATCAGTCCTACACCACCACCACCACCACCAACCATCATCATCATCATCATTATCACTCTGGCAGCATTAGCTGCAGCAGCTTTTTTCGTTGTTGTTGTTATCAAAGCATCTGGACCGTGAGCTACTTTACCTTTCTAAATCTAAAACAAAAATCGTGGGAATCGTGGGAATTTTACACAGAAACGCATATCGAATGCAATTAAATTGTTCGCGCGGGGAGGACTCGCTGGCTGGCTGGCTATCGCGGTGGTTACTCATTTCGCCTCCCTTCGGGGGTTGCTGTTGCGCCGCTTTTCACCCCCAAAATGTGGAATAAAACGGTGCAAAATGTTATGAAGAAAAATTCCGCTTGTTGCGTGGTCAGCTTGTGATTTACCTTTCCGGTGACAAAATGCGGAAGTATCTGAAAATCGAAACGCATGCAGGAGGAGGGGGGTCCCAATATTCTGCTAACGACTTTTTGGTAGGCGGTAGGAGGTAGGCTTTACGGGGGGCTACGAACTGCGTAACGTGGGAAACTTGAACCTCAACATCAACTGGTAGCGGCATTTGCTTAATTAAATGCAACAAAATGTGGCAGCAGCAGCAGTTTGATTTCTCTACAGATAAACAACAAAATGCCACCAGAGGGTGGTGAAATTTTCACATAATTTTCCTAATGGCAGGGACATTTTATGACCCGGTTTTTCGTTTAGATTTAAGCATAAATTCTTTCCATATTTCAGTTGGTTTTGGTTCATTCTCATTCGTACATTCGTTCTTGATTTAAAGTTGCATTCGAGACATTCTTTAAGGTGATTATTCAACACAGTTTCGGTTTCCTTCGCCAGATGCATTCATCTTTGACATCTTTGGTGGCTCTGCTCTGCCAATGGCAATACTCCAGTCCGTTTCGTTTGGTTCCTTGGCTTAATGCGAAATAATTACAACTTGTTCGCACATCATTCAACATCATTCAACAAGCTGGCAAAAAAAATACACATAAAGTATCTGTCAGCGTCCCCTTCATTTGTTTGCCCAATGACGAATGTGAACCGTCGCTGACGACGACGACGACGACGACGATGATGATGAAAACTTGAAAACGACACTTGCCTTATTTACTTTTTGTGCAAAATAAAAAAAAGCGAACTCTTGTGGGCGCGTCGGTAAAATTTCAAAGTCGGCATCATTAACACCCAAACGCGCCATTTTGGTTACGATGTCGATGTCGATGAGTGCTGATGGTGTTGATGGTGATTGATGTAACTTTTGAGGCAACCAAAGAGAGAGAGAGAGAGAAGAGGCCTCCAAGTAGATCTTCCAAGTGAGTGTACCAAATTGGTAGCCCAGAGGCAGCCCAACCCGTCAGCCCATACTCAACCCAGTGCCCAAGGGCTGGCTCTCCTCACTCTGAATATTTGTTGGTTTAGTAGTCTGTACCATCCACTCTCTTCCGACAGTCAGTCCCCTTGGTCTATGCTAATTTGTTATTTTAAGCATGTTTGTTTGCCCAGCCCCGCGCTCTCCCCTGTACGCATGTGCCCTCTAGCCAACAGACTCGATAGAAAATATTGACAAATGCGACACGAGAATGGCAGAATGGTAATGGTAAGGGAATGGTAACCGTGTCCTGAGGCACCTGAGGCGAGAATGTGCTCTGAAATAATAGCAAACAAGTAAACCAATTAAAGCAAAAGATACAATTTGAATTCGTAATGAATTTTACCTACCAACATCCTTGAGTAAATTAATTTGAAAATAATTTGTAAGAATTTACCCAAAAAAAAAGAAGAGAAAGGGGAGTCGAGGAGGGTTAAGGGATAGAGTTACCATCCCGTTTATTGCCTAACGAAAGCCTTTTGAACTGCATGTAAACTTTAACCAGAGCTCTTCAATAACCTCATTAACCCACTCTGGAAAGTCAGTCTAGGACTTTGACAAGCATAATCTGGTTATAACCAGACCCCCCCCCGGGGTGGTACATCGACAGAGAGGCCGAGAGAATTCACCCAAAAATGCAGCTAAGCAAAGATAACAAGTTCTAACCCCAAGTAAACTATAACTCAACAGACTAATTATGAACTCGGGAGACAAAGGTGGTTGAGTCCCAAAACCAAATGGCAATTGCACATTGACTTCATCACCATCAGGGAACAGGGCCAGTCCCCTAATCCAGTCCGAAACCAGACTAGAGAGCCCAAGCAGAGAGCGCTGAGGCTCAAAATATTCAATTACCACAAATTTGTCGGCACAGCATAAATGCAATAATTAAGAATCAAGTTGCCACAAGAAGCAGACTCGGACTGGACTGACTAGACCCCGACCCGACCAGATAAATGTTGAATTACCGCATAGGCAGGGTAAACCGACCCTCAAAAAGATACAGATACGAATGCGAATGTATTCCTGGCATTGGCATTGCCATTGCCATTGCCATTGGGGTGTCCAACTTCCGTTTTGGAAGTCACATGTAGACATACGCGCATGTAACGTAACTTATTTTCTTGTTACGCTTGAGAGATTTTTACAGTTGACATTGAGACGACGGGCGACAGTAACAGAAAACTCGAAAACTCGAAAACTAACCCAAATAGGTTTCGGAAGCTGCGGTCGACCGACCCCTTGGCAAATCCCAGCAGTCAAGGGAGGGAGCGAAAGGTAACTGGCTCCCTGCCTCTGCGGCTGTAACTTCTTTCGCTGCGACGATGGAACTTTTGTTTTAGTGGCTGAGGCATTTAAATGTGTTTCCAATTTGTATCCCATATCCTTATCACTGCATCCTGCCCCTGGCCCATGGCCTCGCTACTGCTGGAGTGGCACTCGTGAGAGAATTTCCAACATTCGTTCGCGTCTCGACCGCAGTCCCCGAACCGTCCCGACCCGCTCGACTGCCTTCTGGCCCCGCGCGACGGAGGACATCCTTTTAGAGGCGAATGCGACACCACCTCAGCGGGCACCCAGCCCGTCCCCTTGGTGTTTCGGGGTTTTTGTGGATTTTAATTATGGGTGACAATGGTTACGGCATTGATTTTCGATATTTGAGATCATTCGCTGTGGTTAGTTAACGCTCTTTAGCGTTGAAAGTGAGACAACCGCCGTGCACAATGCAGACTTGCATATGGAATTAACAAGAGGAATGAGGAGCACTTGAGAGGAGAGTCCAGGCACTGGGACCTGATTTGCATGACACTCGCTGTTGGCGAGTGATTTATGAAGGTGAGCAAAGTTAATCAGGGAACAGGGAGACGGAGTGAATAAATTTGTAGGCAGATTTTCCAATGGGACACTGCCAAAGTATGTCCTGAAATGTAATCTGCATTTAGCGGGCCAACCTCCTCTTGGGCCAGGGTCCTTCTGCTTGGTCAGAGTCCATCCATCTTTTAGCAGCTTAGTGCAA